CCCTTTCAGGGCTTCAAGCACTCTGATTATTAACTCCTGATGGATCAGTTTCTTCCCTTGAGTGTTTATCAAACCTCTTTCCATCCAGATTTTTCCAAATGTGTGTACAATTCCAAAAGCATATTTTGAGTCAGTGTAAATAGTCCCCACCTTATCTTTTAAAAGTTCTAAAGCTTGGTATAAAGCAAATAATTCACAAGCCTGAGCTGACCAGCTAGCACTTATTTTTCCTCGTTCTATTACAGACAGATTTTCTCCTTCTACAATAGTGTATCCTGAATTTCTTTTCCCTTCTATCACCCTTGACGAACCATCGAAAAAATATTTTTCCCCACTAGATAGCTCTATCTCACTTTAATCTGGTCTCCCTTTTGTTTGTAATTCAATTCATTCCACACAGTTATGATCAAGCTCTTCAGCTGGCTCCCCATAGAGAAATTGAGAGGGGTTCTGAGCCGGAGTGACCTTAAGTTCCAGTTCAGGGGAATGTATCAAATAGCTTCATACTTTAAAATCCGGCTACCAGTGAGCCATTTCTCTGCTTTTTGATGCAATATGCTTCTGACATTGTGAGGGGTATATACTGCTAAGGGAGCTCCAAATGTAACTTTCTTTGCTTCCTCTACCAGAAGGGCAGTTGCTACTATAGCTTGTAAACATATTGGCCATCCCCGACTAACAGGATCCAGTAATTTTGAATAATACCCCACCGGCTTTTTGTCTCCTCCCCAGTCCTGGGTGAGCACTCCATAAGCAGTTTGCTCAGCAGTACTTACAAATAATTGAAAAGGTTTATCTAAGTTAGGTAGGCTGAGTACTGGGGCTTGAATTAGAGCATCTTTCAAATTCTTAAATTGTTTTTCATCCTCCTGGTTCCATTTCATTGTATTGACTGTTAGTTTTTCATACAAAAATTTCACCTTTTGACTGTATCCATCTATCCATTGTCTACAATACCCCAGTAACCCTAGGAGTTGTCGTACCTCCCTTTTGGTATTAGGTGAAGGTAGACTTAGTATTCCCGATATTCTCTCAGGATCCAATTTCTTTGTTCCTTTACTCAGCCAGTGACCTAGATATTTCACTTCCTCTTCAGCAAATTGGAACTTAGCGCTCGAAACCTTTAGGCCTTTCTTTCCCAAGAAATTCAACAGATTGTTGCTTCTCTCACTTGCTCCTGATTCTCTCCTGCAATTAACAGATCATCTACGTATTGTACTAGTTTAGTTCCTTCTGGTCTTTCAAAATCCTGTAAAATTCTTTCTAAAGCCTGACCGAAAAGATTTGGGGATTCAGTAAAGCCCTGTGGAAGTACCGCCCACATTAATTGTTGTTTTCTCCCTGTGTCTGGATCTTGCCACTCAAAGGCAAAATAGTCCCTGCATCCCTCCTCTAAAGGACAGGACCAAAAGGCATCTTTCAAATCCACTGCACTATACCAGGTATAGTCAGAGGAAACCTGACTTAGTAATGTATAGGGGTTAGCTACCACAGGAAACCTTGTGGCTATTGGTTGATTAACAGCCCTTAGGTCTTGGACTAGACCGGAGCTGCCGTCACTTTTCTTCACAGGGATTATAGGAGTATTGGGGGGTGACACACATTCTTCTAACTTGCCCTGCTTTAAGAGTTCTTCAATCACTGGCTCCAGCCCTTGCCTGCCATCTAGTGGAATAGGGTATTGTCTCACTCTTATAGGAAACTCGGGGTTTACAATGGTGATTTTTAAGGGCTCTATATCCAATTTACCAATCTGTCCAGGAGTGGACCAGACACCAGGACATATTTTCCTCTCATCCTGCTCTGTCAATTTGTACAGCTGTACCGTTAGTTGATCATTTTGGGGTTGGATGCCAATTTTTGATGAAAGAATCAGGTCTCTCCTCAAAAGATTGCATTCTGCTTCTGAAACTAGTAATAGATCACTAATATCCACTTTTCCCTTTGCTTCAATTAATACTTGTTCAATAATGGGAACCTTAAAGGCCTCTCCCCTTTTGCTCCAAATACTTGAGCTGTTTTCCTGCTGATTTTGCATCCTTTTGGTAATCTTTGCACTGTTGACCTTTCAGCACCTGTATCTACTAAAAAGGTGAATTCTTCACCTTCGGGACCCATTCTTAATTTTATCAAGGGCTCTTGCAGTGGTCTGGTCCCTAATAAATAGAGTCCCTGACACCATTAATCCAGGTCAAACAGTTTTTGATCTGCCTCCTGTTTCTTGCAAAACCTTTTAACATGCCCTTCCTTACCACAGTAAAAGCAGGTAGGTTTTTTAGAACCTTCACCTGTTACTTTTCTCATGGTTTTAGCATTCCCTGAAGATGCACCACCGTTCTGTACCTCCTTTACCGCAGCCACAAAGACCTCAGCTTTGGCTTTGGCCTTTTCTTCATCTCTGCGAATATAAATTCTCTGTGCTTCCCTTAACAATTCTTGCAAACCTCTCTCTTGCCAACCGTCTAACTTTTCAAGTTTCCTTCTTATATCCTCCCAGGACTTCGCCACAAACTGAGTTTTGATTAATGCTTCCCCCACTGCTGTATCAGGATCTAATCCCAAATACATTTGTATACCTTCCTTATCCTTTCTAACCAATCTATGGGTGACTCATCTTTCCCCTGACGTTCATTCAGGGCCTTGCTAATATTTTGCCCTCTGGGGACTGCTTCTCGGATTCCCTGAATAATTATATTCCTGAGATCCACCAGATTCTGCCTGTCCTGGTCATTGTTATGGTCCCATTTAGGGGCTACCAGGGGCCATTTCATTTCTCCTAAAGGTCCCTGCTGGTGGTCCCAAATTCTCATGCCAGCCTGCCTTATCAGCTGCCTCTCCTCTGCTGTAAATAAAATACCTAAAATTGACTGAATCTCCATCCAGGTGTAAATACTGGGTCCTAGAAACTGATCTAACCTTTCAGACACCCCCAGGGGATCTTCAAGTAACCTTCCCATTTCTTTTTTAAAAGCCCTTACATCCCCGGTGTTCAGGGGTGCTGACACATACCCGATGACTGGTCTCCCTTGGTTTCCTACTAATGGTACTTCCCTCAATGGGTACAGCTTCCCCCCCTTCCCTTCTTCATTGCTATCCCCACTGCTTTCTGCTCGTGCCCTTTCCTGGTTTCTTGTTCTGTGTGCTGGTGGTGAATCAAGTACTGGGAGCGTAGCTACCGGGACTTGTGGGAATGGGAGCGGAGCCACCAGGGCTTGTGGTGCAGGGGGTGCTGGATTGGGTGCAAGGGGTGCCGGGTTAGGTGCTGGATGAGGCACCTCTGCCAGTGCAGCTGGCTGTGGTAGATAAGGAGGGGAAAGTTATCTAAGGGGTCCCACTGATCCCTTTTCTTTTTGGTTTTTAATGCATACAGAGGAGTAGACCAGGACCCATGCCATAAAGCAGCATAATCGCTTTCTTCTTGGTTAATAGGGTCCCTTTTATTTACATAGGCATTCAAGGCCTTACAGATCCACCCTTCAGATGACCCATACATTGGCCAGTATAAATTATCAGGTCATATCATTTCTTTAGTCCATTCTACCGTACAATATTGTATCATTTTTTCTTTACTTTTTCGCTCCATCCCAAACCATTGCAGAGCCCCCGGGGCCGGGATGGGGCGGGGCGGGCGCTCGGCAGCTCCAGCAGCTCGTGCTGCCGCCTGCTGTTGGCACCCGGAACTGCAGCTGGGGGGCGGCGCATGCGCGGTGCTGCTGATTTCCCGTGCTCACTACTGCCCTCGTGTGGACAATTTCTGAACTGCAACTGCACAGTGAGTTCCAGGAGATGTGCAAGTAAAAAAGGAAAATCCCTGCTTTGAAAGAAAAAAGAGTTTCCTGAGCAAAACATCAGGGTTTTTTTTTTATAAATAAATGGATGGTGTTACCTCTGTCCTCGTTTCTCTATTTTATTTTTCATCCTTCTTCATTCTGTTTGTTTTTATTTGTTTATTCCCAATGCTTCTTCTGAAGTGTTACCACAAATCAGAAACTTTGGAACAGGCTCCAAACTAATTATTCATCCTTTTTAAATTGCATTGAGCAGCTCCCGCAAGTTTTCTCAGCCCTTCCTGGTGCTCTAGACCCTTCCTGGTGCTCCATCCCTTCCCTGGACATGCTCCACCCCCTCCAGGTCCTTTCTGAGCATCTGCAGTGAAAAAGGGAGGAATTTCTCCAGCACCTCTTTGAAGATCGAAGTTTGAAAAATAAAGCTTTGAGTTGCCTCAAATGAAAACTCCAGGAACTGCTTTATTTTAGGAAATGAGGTGCTCTGCAGGAGAGGTATTAAAGGAGCTGCAGTGGATATATCAGGTGAGCCAGCAGCAAATTTTGGTAAGATTTTAATATACCAGGCAAGCAAGGATCAAATTTCTGATAAACATTTGCTTCACCAGGCAAGCAAGGATCAAGTTTTGATACATGTTTTATACCCCAGGTGAGCAAGCAGCAATTTATTGCTACATCAGGTGAGACAGCCAAGGAGTGTCAGCAGGTGGCCGTGGCATTGCCATTCCCAAACCCCTCTGTAGGGAAGTGCCCAAGCAGCCCCAGGTGCTGCCCAATCTCTGATGTTCATGCTGTCCTTTGCTGTCCTGGCTGCTCCAGCCCCCTTGTGCTGGTCCTGATGCCCTGGCATTGCTCCCTCGCTGGGCAGCTCTCGGAGGGGCTTCCCCTGGATGGGCGCCTTGTTACAGTGACCATGGTGGCCACAGTGGCTGTGGTGGCCATGGGGACCTTGGTCACCTTGGTAACCACAGTGTCAACGGTGACCTCAGTAGTTACGGTGACCGTGGTAGCCATAGCGGCCACAGTGACATCATGGGTCACTGTGAGCACAATGACCACGCTGACCATGGTGGTTCTAATGCCCAGAGTGGCCAGACTGGTCATAGAGGCCAAAGTGGCCGCAGTGGCCAAGAGTGGCAATAATGGCCACAGTGGTCACAGGGGACAAAGTGACCATAGTGGCCATAATGGCCTTGGTAGTCTTGGTGCCCTCATTTCCCTGGGGGTCTTGGTGGCCTTCATGCTCATGGTGACCACAGTGGCCCCCAGGACCACCGTGACCTTGGTGGCCTCATGGCTCAGAGGGTTCCAATGGCCACTGCCATGGCCACGGTGGCCAGGAGAAGCCCCCCAAGCTGGGGGAATTTCCTGGGGAGGCTCCCACCTGTGGAGATAAAGAGAGCGGTCAGGAGGGCCATGGGGGGAGGGACAGGGGTGATGGGGGGTCCTGGGAGTGTGGGATGTCAGAGGGGGCCATAATGAGGCCCCTTTCCCCTGTGCCCAACCATGGGTGGCCTTGTCCTCCCCACCCCTGTGGGTGTCCCCAGCACTGGATGTCCCTGTCCCCCTCACCTGGCACTGGGTGTCCCCATCCCATGTGCCCAGCAGTGGCTGTCCCTGTCCTTGTCCCCAGCTCTGGGTGTCCTGCCTCCCACCCACAGTGGGTGTCCCTGTCCCCTCTGGGCCATGGGCATCCCAAGCACTGTGGGTCCTTGTCCCCAACCCTCACTGAGTGTCCCCATCCCCCCTGGTTGTTCCCATGATGTCACCTCGCAGCCACTCGCAGTTGTAGTTGCTGAAGTTCCCGGTGGAGCGAAGCTCAATCTGCACCGTCTTCCCTTCCCTGGTGACTTTGGTGACCTCAAAGGTCTCAAAGGGTGGGATCAGCACCTCCTTCTCGCTTGGATTGAAGGAGAATTTCTGGATGTCTGCTCCATGGCATGTGTGCACCTCAAACATTGTGACGTTCCCATAACCCTGGGCCACCGTTTTGTCCAGCGACGACGAAGTGAATTGACCAAAGCGGACTTTATCACCAGCTGTCACATTGAACTGGACTGTCCTCACCCCACGGAACACATCTGGACACTCATCAGGGCGTCTCAGCTTCTGGAGGGCCTGGGTTAGCAGGAAATGCAGCGTTTTGAAGCGGAAGTTGTTTCGGTATTCCTGGCGGGACTTCCCAGCCATGCGCACAGCTGCGTTGAAGTCCCTGTAGATGTCCCCCATTGTGTAGGCCATGAGGGCAATGGCTTGGTCTTTGGTCAGAATGGATGAATCGGACCCCATCATCTGCCACTCGACCGTAGCCTTCTCCCAGGCCTGAGCAAGAAGAGGGTTGTCCTGGAAGTCAGAGCCCTTGAGGGCTGGCAAGGCCTCAGTCATGGCAGGGCCACAGTTCACATACTGGTCATCAAAGGAGTTCTGGGCCATGTCCAGGGGCACCACCTTGACGGCTGCAGTGGCCACGGTCATTGCCAGCAGTGCCAGGGTCTGAGCCAAGGGCGCCATGGAGAAGAGAGGCCACAGTGGCCAGTGTGGGACACTGGGGGACACAGAGGGGACAAAGAGGACAGACTGTGGGACACAGGGAAGACACTGGGGGACAGCAGGGGATGCTGAGGGGACACTAATGGGACAGAGGAGACTCTGAGGGACATGGCAGGACATGGGGAGGCTTCCTTGGGGAGGGGCTGGGGAGGAAGGGTGGGGTCAGCCCAGGGAGGGGTGCAGCCCGGGCCAGGAGACCCCTGGAAATGTCCTGGAACCTGATCCCAAATCAGGGGTCACTCCTGGATGCCCCAGTGTACCCCAGACTTTCAATCCCACTCCCATCGTTCTGTGTCTCCCCTCCTGGTGTTTCCCAGGTCCTCGGTTACCCCAATCCCTCTAACAGTCCCTTGTACCCCTCCCAGTGACCCCATGTCCCCCAGGATCCTGACCCATGGCCTGCCAACCCCCAGTGTCCCCCTTGTCTCCATCCCATACCCCAATCCCACTGCCAGTACCATGATGACCCTGGTGACCCCTGGACACTGATCCAGTCTTATGTGACCCCATGTGTCCCCAAGTGTCCCCCAGTATCCCTCTGCCACTCCCATGGTCCTGTGTTCCCCATTGCTGCCCCTGGACCACCCCAGTCCCTGTACTGTGACACCTCCAGTGCCCCCCCCCCCCAACCCCAATCCGATAGTCCCATGTTCACCCTGCAAGGGTGCCCCAGTCCCCGATACCAAAATCAGCCGGAGTGAATTCCCTGATGAAACTGGAGGTATCATAAAGCCAGAATTCTTTATCAGCTCAGACTCATAGAGGATCTCTCCTGGTCCTGTAGGTCAGGGAGGACTTTGCCATGGGGTATTTATCCACCATAATTATAAATATTCATGAAAATGTCTCCCTTATCTGATACAGAAACAGCACTTTTCCCGTAAATAATTTCCATTGATCCACCTCCTCCTGCAAGTCCTTTTATTGTCCTGGAGAGTCGTAAAAATGGGGTTTCTGGAGGTCATTTTCAAATACTTTGATATCAAAGGAGCTTTTCCTGGAACGATTTCTTTGCACAGGTGCCGTTGTTTCCTGCTACAGAGCTTGCCAAAAACCGCACTGGAGTTCCCTTTATCTGTTTCTCAACAGTGAGAAACAGCCATGTTTTTCGTCCTGTGTGCACACCTGTCCATCTTTCTATCATTTCTGTCAGTTTGTCTTCAGGCTCTGTCCAGCACATTTAGGGGAAGGGAAGATTTCAATTTTCTCTGTTATTTGTCACTTTGTGACAGAAATGCTCCAGTCCAGTCATCATCCATGCTGCCATCCAGGATCTCCAGGTCTTTCCTGTCCTGAGGAGCCCAGAATGGGAAAGAGCACTGGACAGAACTGGACATGGCACTGGGCAGAGCTGGACATGGCACTGGGCAGAGCTGGACACGGCACTGGGCAGAGCTGGATACGGCACTGGGCAGAGCTAGACACAGCACTCCTGATGTGCCTCACTGGGCAGGGCAGAGGGGCACGATCACTCCCTGACCTCCTGACCCTGCCCTTCCCAATACGCCCTGGATCCCTCCTGGCCCCAGGCCACATGGCCAGCTCCACTGGTCATCCACCAGCACCCCCAGGTCCTTCTCCAGAGCTGCTCCAGCTGGTCCGCCCCAGCCTGGACTGGCAGTGGGGTCTGTCCCTACCCAGGGACAGGACCTGCCTTTGCCCTCTTGAGCCTCCCAATTTCCAGCCTTTAAGGTCCCTCTAAAGTGCAGGATGTGGCAAGATGCTCTGCCTGGAATGTGGCCAAGAGACTAGGCTCCATTTGTGGCCTTGCGGGCTACATTGGGAGGGGTCTTGTACTGATTTGGGTGTTGAACTGGGCTAAAACCAGCCCAAATCACCAACCCCGAATTGACAACTGAGGGTAAAGCACCAGAGCTGGGCCTGGCCATCTATCAGATGACCCTGAGAAGGTTCAGTTCCCTCTCAGACAGAGATTCCTCTCCCCTGTTCTTACTGGAAATGAAATGTGTGTGAGGTTCCTCCCTCAGGAAGGAGATGCTCCTCAAACATCCTCCTCAAAGTTGAGAGAAAGAAATGTTCCAACGAGTGTTGGTGTGGGAACCAACACAGTGACATTGAGCCCTGTTTAGGAATTTTAAATTTTTGCTGGTTTTATCAGATTTATTTAATGGAATTGTTTTGATTGGCCTATTTAATAGAATTGCTTTCTCACAATGACCTTGGGGTGCACAGCGGTCACAGTGGCTGTGGTAGACTTGTAACAGGGAGTCTTGATGATCATGGTGGCCAGGGTTGCCGCAGTGACCGCTGTGATGTCAGTGACCTTGGTGGCCTCGTGGCTCACAGAATCCTGGTGGCATCTGCCAGGGCTGTGGTGGCCAGGAGGAATCCTCAGAGGTCACAAGGATGCCTGGGGACATTCTCACCTGGGGGACAAAGAGGGGCATAATGGGAGACCATGTGGTGAGTGAAGGGGTCAGGAATGGCCAGAATGGGGGATTAGGGGTGGCAGGAGAGATGGGGGCCATAAGGTGACAGGGTGTCAGGGGGGCATGGGGGGGTACAGGGGCCAGGGAGATCAGCAGGGTCATGGTGGGCTTACAGGTGACAGAGGTGAGGGGTAGTCAGGGCCTGCCATGGGGGTGACAGGGAGTGACAGGGGTTCAGGGAGTACCATGAGGAGCCCTGGCCCACCTGTGTCCAGCATACAGGGTCCATCCCCACAGCATTGCACTTGGTGGAGAGGGACAGTTTTGGTATGGGTGGGGCCCAGTCTCTGTCCTAGCCTGGCAGGGGTGTTCCTGTCCCTGTCCCATCCCAGAAGTGGGGGTCTCCTCTCCCTGTGCCCTGTCATGGACATTCTTGCCCCGTGCCCACAATGGTGCTCCCAGGCCTGGTTTTCCCAACATTGGGTGTGTGCCTATGTCCCCACAGTTTCAGCGAGTATCCCCACAGCCAGCACTGAGTGTCCTCACCCCCTGTGCCCTGTCATGTGTGTCCCCTGTCCCCATATTGGGTGTCCCCAGCACTGGGTGTCTCTGTCTTTGTCCCTAGCTGTGAATGTCCTTGTTGCACTCAGAAACAGTGGTTGACCTGTCCCTGTCCCCATGCCTCCCCAGGCCATATCATGGGTGTCCCCAAGGCCACAGTGCGTGTCCCCAGGCTGTCCCCTGTGCTGTCACCTCACAGCCACGCGCAGTTGTGTTTGCTGTAGGTCCTGGTGGAGCGGAGACTGATCCATGCCCTCTTCCCATTCTGGGTGACTTTGGTCACCTCAAAGGTTTCATATGGCGGGATCAGCACCTCTCGGTTGCTCAGATAGAAGGAAAAAGCCTGGATGTCCACGCCGTGGCACGTGCGAACCTCAAATATGGTGTCTGTTCCGTACTTCTGGGCGACCTCTTTGCTCAGTGACGTCGATGTGAATTGGCCAAACTGGACCTTCTGGCCACGCCGTGCCTGAAACCGGACATCATGGACACCCCGGAACACGTGGCGACACTGCCCGTTCTGAGCCTGCCTCAGTGTCCCCAGGGCCTGGGTCAGCAGGAAATGCAGGGCTTTGAAGTGGAAGTTGTTCCCGTATTCCTGGCGGGAGCGCCTGGCCACACGCACAGCCGCGTTGAAGTCCTTGTAAATGTCCTTTGTTGTGTAGGCCATGACAGCCACGGCCTGGGCTGGAGATGCCAGAGGGGACTCAGGGGCACCCCACTTGCGCCACTCAGCCTCGGCCTTCGTCCAGTCTTAGCCAAGAGAGGATTCACCTGGAACTCAAAACTGTAGAGTGCTGGCAATGCTGCTATCATGTCAATGCCGCAAGCCCGGTACCGATCATCGAAGGAGTCCCTGGCCATGTCCAGGGGCACCACCTTGATGGCCGTGATGGACAAGGTCATTGCCAGCAGTGCCAGGGGGCAAGCCTGGAGGGCCATGGTGGGGAAAAGCCTCTGGGAGAAGCCAAGGGACTGGTGTGGGACACTAGGGGACAAAAGGGGACACACTGAGGGGACAATTAGGGCACACAGGGCTACAGAGTAAAGCTCCCTCTGTGAGGGGCTGAGGTGGGAGAGAGTGAGGGATCAGCCATGGGGGAGGGGGGTAGCTCTGGTTAGAAGACCCCTAGATACATCCTGGAATGATGATTGGAAAACCTGGGGTCATTCCAGGACTCCCCAGTGTCCCTCAGACCCCCAGGACAACAATCCCACTCCCTGGTCTCATATCCTCAACCCTTAGTGGCTTCCCAGCCCCTAAGAAACCAAGATTCAAATTCTGGGGTCACTCCCTGACCCCCCAGCAGTGCGCCCCATGACCCCAGTCCCACTCCAACAAAGCCCCCCTGGACCCCACTGGTGTGACCCTACCGGTGTCATTCCTGTGCCCACAAGCCCCACAAGCCCACACCAGCCCCTCTACATTTCCCCAGCCCAAACCCTGGGGACAATCCCTGACCTCCCCAGAGTCCCCTCAGTGCCCCACCAGCCACCCTCCCAATGCCAGTCCTGTTTTTACCCTTCCATTGTCCCCCCAGTGCTCCCCAGGAACCCTGCTCCCAATCCTCTGCAACCCTCTTGTGACAGTGGTCTGATAACAAACCCCAACTAAATCCCTAAAGCCACTCGCTCACCCCACACTGTCCTCCTTGGCCCTCTCCCAGATCCCAGTTCCACTCCCAGTCCTGTGACCCTTTCGGTGTCACCACAGGAGTCCAACTGGGGAGCACCCCTTGCCCCTGCGATGTCCCCAGGACGCCACCATGGCCCCACTCCACAATCCCAGTCCCGTGTCCTAATTTGGAAATTCTCCAAATTAGGAGAATTTCTCCAAATTTGCCCTAAACCAGGACAAAATCTTGGCACCCAATGTGGGGTGAGAGAGAGAGTGGAAAAACCCTGTTTTGAGTGCATTTTGGTTGCCATTACTCTCTGTTTGTTTAAACCAGCTAATAGCCATGCTTTCTGAATTCATAATGAGTGTTGGGGTAAAGGCTTGCATGTGTT